AGAAGGTGGTGCACAGGCAGCCCTATGGCCAGAGCTGCAAGCCCTTGAAGGAAAGGTCTGGGACCCTGGAACGATACCACTGATCAGGACAAGCTAGGACAGGCCACAGGGAACACACACTCCCCAAACCTTGGTGGCTCGTGACAGATGTTTCTCACACCACACCCATCGAGGGTTGGCTGCAGCCCCGTCCTATGTCGTCTTCACACTGGGACCCAGGTGGATGGATGGGAGTCTACCTGGAATATGACCAGTGTTGGTGCAGAGGGAGGAGACAGGTTAACTATGCACATGTTGGTCCTCGAGGCATCTTGCCTTGGTGACACATGCCACCTCTACCCACCTTTCATTGACCAGGATGAGCTCTGTGGCCAAGCATGAGTCCAATAGTGCTAGGACGTACCTACCATTCTACTGAGGGAGAGGGGACAGAATTGGCAAGGAGACATCCAATCTACCAGAGATAACCCAAACAACTGCTGGCGTGTCAGGACAAAAAGATAAACATGTTCAGATGTACGAGGACTCGTGTGTTCTGATAACAACAAAAAAGTTCAAAGAAATACTCCAGGCAAATTAAAGGTGAATCCAAGTAAAGAACTCAGGAATACAAGAAATGGGTGAGCAATGAACCTGGTAACCATGGAGTTGGGTCAAAATATTTTTTATAACGTTGACTGAAGTTTAATGTCACCATTAAAAGATTCTTGATAAAGGCAAATGAGAACCAGGTTTTACAGAGAAATATTACGTAGAATTCTGAACCATATTCTAGATGAGTCCGTCAAAACCCAGGCGACAGAGAGCTTATGTGTGAACGCATGCGAGCTTCTGTAGGAGGAAGGGCAGAAATCCGACTTTCCGCTGCGTCTTTTCTTGTTCAGGGAGAAAAGAGGTCTTAGATATGTGAGAGAGAGAAAGAAGTATAAATTCGAGTATATTTAAAACATCATGGTTTTCCACTGATAAGAGAAATAAGATGCCAAATGCTAAATTTACTATAGGGAAAAATTATTTGATTAAGCAAATAATGAGGAAAGAAAAAAATTAGAAAACATAATAGGCAAATGAATTAAATGGCAAATAATATTGCATCAGTGATCATAATAAACAGGCGAAATTCAGCTAGTAAGAGACTTCCCTTAAAAAAAACAAAAAAAATAAAAAAATAGCAATGTGCCAATTACAAGCCACCCACCTAAAGTGACAGAGAAAAAGGATATAAGATTCTAAACACAAAGCACCACACTGAATACGGAAGATATTTAACAGTGACGAGAAAATTCCACTCGTGAGCCCTTTCAAACTAAGCAATGTAACTGAAACTTACAAAAGCTGTTAAGACAAAGAGGAAGACATAATAAATACCAGGATCATTTAATGCACTTTTCTTAGCAGTGGGCAAATAGTGAGGACCAACAAACAAACAAACAGACAAACAAAACAAAAAGGAGGGGGGAGAGGGCAAGAAAGAAAAACAACAGATTTGAAAAATTTACAAGCTCAACTGGAAAGATTATATAAAACTTTATACTGAACCAATAAAATGCATTATTTTCAAATATCGAGAGAACATTTACTTCTGTCCTTTCCCCCCTAAAATTATCCTGAAGTTCATCTGGAAAAATAAATGTGCAAAACGACCTAAAACATTTTTAAGAAGGAAGAACACGCACAAGGCTGTACTGGTGCCACGGCGATGAGTGAACAGTGCAGCCTACGCCGTCCGGTATGGCGACCGCAGGCCACACACGGCTGATCTGAAGAGAGATGCTCCAAGTGTAAACTACAAACTGGATTTCAAAGGCTTAGCATGAAAAATGTTTTAGAATATCTATTACTTTTATGTCCATTACATGTTGAAATGATATTGGGTTAAACTATTATGAAAACTAATTTCACCTCTTTGTTACTTTTTGCTGCTCCTAGAAAATTTTGAATTACACATGTGGCTCACATTATGTATCTATTGGACAGTGCTGGTCTAAAAACAGACCCAGGTTTTCTATTTTCTGTCCATATCCTTTATGACATTTTCCAGTGGAGACACAGTTTTCCTTTTTTTAAATATCGTCATAGATTAAAAGTGTTCACCCTTTGGCCTAGATGCTACAAGTTTCTTCTGGCTTTATTTATGACACTTAGATTTTAATTTCCCATAAAAGCAAAATCACTGATCTCTCCTGTCATATTTTTCCCACTCTAAAAACTTTTCTGTGGGCTGGTCATTTAAGCACTGTGGCATTTACTTGAGGATAGGGACCGAGGCAAGATGAGTCCACGTTGCTTTAGAGCAGAGGCAGGGCACAGCCTGGCTCTGCGTCCCGGCGCTGCTCCATCCGCAAACCACTTGCAGAAGTCGCTGTCTTCTACCTCTGGGGTCTGCGTGCTCACCTGTGAAGGAGTCCCTGCCTTGCTGGGCTGTCTTGAGGACTACGAGTACAGCAGCTGACACAAAGCACTCTGTAACTCTAGCTACTAATCTTGTTTTATCTTCTTAAGCTTGGGATGGTTAGAAGCAACATTTGTTCTCGTCTGACAGATGTTGATGCCCACAAGTGGCATAACCAAGGTTGTGCAAGGTGTAGCAGTAACTCCAGAACCCAGCCTCCATGGCGACACCGCAAGCACCACAGAGGAAGCATCGACGCGGAGACCTGAAGCAAGGCCGGGAGGAAAGCTCTCACCTCAACCCAGCACTCCAGCTCTGCGCCCCACGCACGTCCAGGTCCCCAAACCTCTCTCCAGCGCTGGCTCCTCCCATGAGTTTCCAAGTCAGACCCAAGCATCGCCTGGATGGCCCACAGGAAATTCAAAGATGGTGTCGAAAGTGTATCGACCGGATAACTGACTTCCAGAACCGTGTAGCAAGGGCCTCCATAAATCTGCTGCTCCTCAAGAGCCAGCAAAATTTCCAGCAAAATGGTCAAAAATAAACTTTTTCAGAACTCTGGAAATTAAAGGCCTATGACAACCTGAGAAGCATGAATTCGAGGAGCACATGCCCTTTGCCAGCCCCTAACTCGCTTGTCCTCCTGTTCCTGTTTGCCAAACTGTGCTTCATAGAGCTGTCCCCGCAAGGACAAGACTCTGAGGCCCAAGTCACGAGTAGCAGCCCATGCCTGTCAAAGCCCGTGGGCTTCATCTGAGGATCCTGACTCCATCCCAGAGGAAGCCCTTTTTCCTCGTCAGGACCAACCTGGCTTCAGCGTCCACGCCCCCTCCCTGCACCAGAAGCATCACTCTGTTTAAAACCCAGTGGGGCTCCCTAGAGACAACGGCCAAATCTGCACACCAGACTCCGTGAGTCCTCTCCCCACACTAGTCGAAAGGCCCCCGAAAGGCGCCCGTAACCCCTTCCCGCTCCAGCAATGCTGAGTTGTACAGGAAAAGCTTAGACCCAGGTGTGACGTAACTTGGCCAAACTCACACCCAGTTACCGTCAGGACTTGGAGTGAACAGCAGCTAGGGCTGCAGGAGAGCTCGCGGGGCAGAGGACGTTTCCATGATTTAATTGCCTTGAGGTTGGTACCATTATCTGATCTTAGACGAGGGAAACTGAGGCTTTTAACTACTTGTTAACCACATAGGTGAGGACCAGGGCCTGAGGGGAAGACAGCCACCTCAACAACGGCCAGCCAGCTCAGCAGAGAGCGGGGACAGCAGGCCTGGAGGGTTCGGAAGTGAGAGAAGCGGGGTGTAGGGAAGGTACCTCAAACTCTCTGGAGACTAGCCTGGCTGGATGTCCAATGCCCCAGGGGGCCTGGGTCAGACCTAGGGAGACACCTGCAGGGGGCCATGGGGGTCGCAGAGGGCTGCAGGGGTCAGAGCCTATCTTTAAGAGGGGCTTTTTTTTTTTTTCTTGAGACAGTCTCACCCTTTCACCCTGGGTAGAGTGCAGTGGCGTCATCCTAGCTCACAGCAACCTCAAAACTCCTGGGCTCAAGCGATCCTCCTGCCTCAGCCTCCCAAGTAGCTGGGACTATGGGCACGTGCCACAACAGCTGGCTGATTTTTCTATTTTTAGTAGAGACGGGGTCTCACTCTTGCTCAGGCTGGTCTCAAACTCCTGAGCTGAAGCGATCTACGTGCCTCCGCCTCCCAGAGTGACAGGATGACAGGCATGAGCCACGGCGCCCACCAGAGGGGCTATTGAGACTTAGTGTCTGTTCTCCACTTACGTGTATGTAAGTGGAGTATATCATTCTTATCACTACAGTTGATTAAATAACTTAGAATGCACAACCAAAGAATGCACACCTGGATCTGGAAACCAGTGCTTTGCCAACTCATGAGCCGTGGACTGGTCCGTGGCCTATCGGGAACCCGGCCGCACAGCAGATGAGTGGTGGGCCTGCAAGCAGAGCTTCATCTGTATTTATAGCTGCTCCCCATCGCTCAAATCAGCGCCTGACCTCCGCCTCCTGTCAGATCAGTCACTGTCTCCCGTCACCCCCAGATGGGACTGTCTAGTTGCAGGGAAACAAGCTCAGGGCTCCCACTGATTCTGCATTATGGTGACTTGTATAATTATTTCATTATATATTTCAATCTAATAATACAAGTGCACAGTAAATGTAATGGGCTTGAATCACCCCTAAACCATCCTCCCCCTCAGCCCCCCATCCATGGAAAAATTGTCCTCCGTGAAACTGGTCCGTGGTGTCAAAAAGGTTGGGACTGCTGGTTTAAACTGTAAGTTGGGCTATTTAGATATTGGGTGGGGGAAGTCAGAAGAAGCTTGGCTGCCATGTGGCGGGGTAAGAAGAGAGGAAAAGGCCAAATTTCTGGCCAGACCGTCTTCAAAGAACTGTGGGTCTCCTTTACCTGTGGTCCTGCGGGGCCCATGGCCCACCCCGCCCCCCACTCTCAACCACCCTCTTCACTCCCCACCCCCCAACCTTTTTGGGAAGAAAAAAATGGACTCAAAGCTAATAGTTTATACAATTCAAGATTTATGTAAGTTTAAGTTACTTAAGTTACTTATTTTCAGATTGCACAATACTGAAGCCAGTCTAAAAAAGAATCAAACACACCACTGCAAGATAATTCAATGAGTTAGTTTTTTTTTTTCCTTTTTTTAACAAATTTGTACAGCAAAACCCCCTAGATCACAGTCTAGACCATACAGTCACCCTGTCCAGTACGCAGGAAGCCACAAGAGCCCCTGGCAAGAGGGGCGGGGCGCGGCGGCTGCACTCTGCAGAATTAACTTCTACTTACAGACGACACGTGGTGTGGAAAAACCTCAAGTTCCCTTTGTTCTCCAGTGTATCTTATACAAAATATTACATTTTTTAAACATATTTACAGAGTCTGCACAAATAGAAAATGGTTACAAATTACTACCAGGCTTGGCAGGATAACATTCCCCTCCCCACGGACTGAGGTCAGAGGTGTGACGATCACTTCATAGTTACATCTGCATTAAAAAAAGTCTGTGCTCCTAGAGACCTAGATGGAGTTTATAAAAACTGGTTACGTCGGCAATTCATTTATGTAAGCTGTACAAGTAATTGATGACCAATTAGTTCATGTCTTGCTCCCTGAAGAAAGATTGTGAAAAGAAACCCTCCCAAGCCAGCACCACGCAGCCCCTGGCCTGTCCCCGCAACTGCCTGGATTTGCTGGGGCAGGGGCTCGGGGAAGAGGGCAGGGACAGAGGCGGAATAGGACAACCTGGTGGAGACTGGTTTTCTTCAATTTTTTTTTTTTAAATAGTTTAGAATCAGGTTCAGCCAATTGGCTTGTCCAACACTATCCTATGGCTTTGAAAAGAACCCACAGCTCCGCCCTTTTGAAACAACATCTCAACAGGACTACAGTATGAGGAGAAAAAAGAGGACTTTCTGGAGAGGACAATGTTTGTTATTCTGATGTTAAATCTTTGCCTCGAGTGCCAAGCCCGATTTCGACAGTGCAAAAAAGGCGCAAGCTGCGGCTGTGGGACCGGGGGTCAAAGGCTTCCGTAGTAGCTGTCCACCCACTGAGCAAGGCCGCGCTCCACCAGCGACCGGTTGATCAACACCACCTGGAAAACAGAGTCCCCTTGAGAGCTGTGCCCGCGGCACCCTGGGGCCATCGCTCAAGCCAACATGGGCTCTCCCTCCCGGGGCCCGGCTGCCATCGCAGCCAAGAGATGTGCAAGAGTAATGGCAGGGACGACTGACAGGGCGTTCACTTAAGGAAGAATGGCGTGACAACAGGCTTTAATATGTTGAAGAAATCTAAGCTTTAGGACCGTAAGATGGAAGATAGAAAAACCCAATGGATGGAAGGTTCCAGAAAGTCTTGAGCAGGGTTCCTCCACTTTGGCGCTATTGACACTGTGGGCTGGATAATTCTGTGGGGGGGGGGCTGTCCTGGGCACTGTAGGAGGTTTAGCACCATCCCTGGCCTCCACTCTCTAGATGACACTAACATCTCCACCCCCGTTGGGGCACCCATGTCCCCTGGGGCCTGATCTACAGTTACATCCTCCGATTAGCTCAAGACAAAAAAAGCCCCAAACCGGCTCCGGAACCCACCCATTACTGCTGCCAGCAACTCAGGGGAAACAAGGGCAGAACTTACTTCATCTCCGACCACACTCCACAGCTGAATCAGAGGAAGACCAGTTGGACTGTAACTTGTCACCTGAGGAAGAGAAAACAAAAGCGTGATTTAAAGCTACTCCAGGCAGGGCGCAGTGGCTCACACCTGTAATCCTAGCTCTCTGGGAGGCCGAGGCGGGTGGATTGTTTGAGCTTAGGAGTTCGAGACAAGCCTGAGCAAGAGCAAGACCCCGTCTCTACTAAAAATAGAAAGAAATTAATCGGACAACTAAAAATATATAGAAAAAATTAGCTGGGCATGGTGGCGCATGCCTGTAGTCCCAGCTACTGGGGGGCTGAGGCAGGAGGATCGCTTGAGCCCAGGAGTTTGAGGTTGCTGTGAGCTAGGATGACGCCGCGGCACTCTAGCCCAGGCAACACAGTGAGACTCTGTCTCAAAAAAAAAAAAAAAAAAAATAGCTACTCCACACACCCCTCTTAAAGACTGCTGGTCAACCCAGGGCCCAGGCCACAGCGAGGAATATAAAGACCAGTTCCCGAGAAGTCCAGATACTTAAATAAGGGCAGCAGGAGGCTTCTCAGACAGACCCTGGCTGCCCCACACACCTGAGCAAGCAGTGCTGTGTTCCCCGTCATCTCGCTCATGGCGGCATCTGCCTCAGGTGAAAAGTGGTCATCATCTGTAGGAGGAAGGCAGCGTTCAGACTCTCACTGAGGCCAGGCACCGTCGTCACACACTGTATTCCAAGAACACTGCAGGTGACGCACGGGACTGGAGAACTGCGCTGGGGAGACCCGCCCACGTCAGGGACGGAGCCAAGGCCCCATGTGACTCCCAATGGATAAGCTCAGGTCCCTGCTGCAGGCTGCCCACCGGAGGACAGAGAACAAAGGGACAGAAACTCCGCCTTCGACGGCAACGTCACCGTCGCCAGCACCACCTATTTGGGTGCTGACTATACATGTTCTTCCACCAAATCAGTAACACCAAGTGTCATCCCCGCCTTACAGGGGCGAGCACTGACACAAAGGTTGATCAAAGGTCAACCGGCTCCCAGAGTGGTCAAGGTAGAACTCAAATCCAGGCAGCTGGTCGCACAGCCCAACACGGGCAGCCACCCTCTAGTGGGTGAGGCACCAAGGCAGCAATCTGCTTTGTCAGATCATGAAAGTTATGTAGAAAAACACACCCACGGCAAAAGGCGCCAAGGATGGGAGGGGGCAGGTGTTCACTAAGGTCTGGAAAAAACCATATGAAGGAGGGAGCGTTTGAGCTGAGTATAGACAGACTACTTAGGTGGACAGAAATGGAGAGGAAGGTTGGGCAAGAGGAAAAGGAAGAAAACACAGTGAAGACCCCATCCCTAACATGGCCCCAGCGAGACCACAGTGCTTCCAATGCACTAGACTGCGTTAGGCAAGCAAGAACAGGGTTAGGAGGAGCAGACCCGCAGAGGGAGGGGACGGGATGCAACAGACCATCATCTGCGAACATAAAATCTGCAGCCATAAATCGCTGCCATTTCACCACCTTCTACACACCAGTTCCTGGGTTTATGTAATTCTCGCAGCCACCTGAAAATTCAGGTACCACCCCCATGTTCTAGAGGGGAAAACTGAGGCAGAGCAATTTGCCCAAGATCACAGCGCCAGGCCTTGTCCCTCTGGCAGTGCTTTCACAGCCTAAGACAGGGTGAGTGGCAGCACAGTCGCCAGCCCGCCCTCAAGGAGCTGTGGCCCAGCTGAACGGTACCACCACCCTCAGTGCCTGCCCTTGACCACATGGGCAAAGACACTGGGTCTGGACTATGTTCTGGAAGGTGCCTTTGTTAGAAGCCTGTCAACGTTGGAGGTCTGAGTAAAGTCTAGGGCAGCAGATCTCAATGGGGAGCAGCATTGGCCCCCCGGGAACTTCTTAGAAATGCATGTTCCTGCGCCTCAGCCCAGAGCTCTTCAATCAGAAACTCTGGGAGTGGCAGCCACCTGTGTTTGCATAAGCCCTCCAGGTGAGAACAATGGCGCTCAGAGAGACCTACTCTCAACAACTGCCCGCCTCCCTCTGCCAAGCCAGAGGCCCCAGCTGTTACCTGACAGGGGCATCACGCTGTCCAGAAGGACTTCTGTTCCCTGGAATGGCAGGGTGACAAAGTCAGACCTGGAAAGGCAAGAAAGGAACAAGTTTCACACGAACGTGAAGGCTGACTCCACACCAAGCTGACATTTGCCTTTCGTACAGTGACACCCACAAGCTAGGACGCAGCAGAGGGGACACATGCAGGAGGCCACAGCTCATGGCACACCCGAATACAGGCGGCCAGCCCCGCTGCAAGCCCGACCTCAGAGGGACCTCTCGCATCAAATTCCCAACAAGGAGGCTGCTTAAAATCTGACATGACACTGGGCGATTCCTCCACGAGACAGGCCTTCTAGCTCAGTTTGGCTGAGGCAAGTAATCTTCTGAGTGTGTTTCTATCAGACTCTGCTAAGACACAGCAGGCAGCAGGAGGGAAGGATTAACCCACACCGGAGGCTTGGAGCAACGAGGCCAGCTACGCAGAGATCACACGTCCCGTGACCAGCAGGGCCTGTGCCTGAGGACTCTCCACGCACCTGATTTGCCGAAGCACGTCTACTTTCACCCTCTTGTATCCACCGTAGTCCACATACCGAATCTCGACCTCATTGGTCTCCTCGTAGGAGGCAACCACTTGGGCTCGCCACCAGGCCCCGTCCACGCCGGGGGCAGCACAGATGACCGTTACTGCAGGGCAGGAAGAGGAGTGTGTGGAAACACCCAGCCGAGGGCAGGGCACCGACAGCCACCATGGGCACCGCTGCACCCACCCCCTGCATTACTTCTCAGAGGCCCGCACCTCCACAGCAGGAGACAGAACAGCAGCAGGTCCCCGACAGCGCCTCCCCAGGACAAGCAGAGGGAGGAACCTAGATGTGAGAACTTCAGCCTAGCAGGTGTGCTGCCCCCTGATCCATCCAGCCTGAAAAGCATCCAACCTAGATCCACTGCTCTGAAACTTACCAAAGCCTGAGTGCACACAGATTAACCAGAATAAACCAAGTGATGTACGGCACGCAGGGAATGGGGCCAGAGCCTGCCTCGCATTCCCGAGGGAAAGTCTCTAAAAGAATCAAGGCCCGCTAAGCGCAACAGGTCCCAGGGGCCTAGTATCTAGCATCTGCTCCAGCCCACAACTCAGATCGAGGGCTCGACCAGAAGGGGGCTCCCAGGCCTACACCTCACGTCTAGCCTTTGCCGCAGGAAGGTGCCTGAGAGTAGCACCTGGACGGCCACCAGGGCTGTGCTCCAAGGGGTCACAACTCCACCCTGGGGAGACAGGGCAGATGGAACCGGGGGTAAGGGCCACCCAGCGGTACCCCAGCAGCTGCCCAGGCCAGCTGGGATGAGGGCCTGTGACGCAGGCCTGCCTACGCTGGGTCTGACCCTTAAAGAGCCCCCCTGGTGCAGTCACCTCTTGGACTCCGGCTCTTACTGCTGGGTTAACGCAACTTGGGAGAATCTGATGAAAACTAAACCCTTATTTCTCCAGAAGAAAATATACACACATGCACGCACACAAAATGCTACAGATAACTTCAAAGGTTTTTCTGGTACCTTGAAGCTCACTGGGGGACCCCAGGTTCGGAGTCCAGAGATGGGCGGGTGGAGAGATGTTCTGACATCAAATCCCACTGCTAAAGCAACCAAGCTAACAGTGACGAAGGACCAGCTCGGGCCCCAGCCCCTGCCCAGGTGTCACTTGATTTCAGAGGCTCAGTTTTCTCATCTGTCAAATGGAGATGACCCAAGCCCTGCACAGGCCTGTTGGGCTTAGGGATGTTCTGTACCAAGTCTTTATGCAGAACATGTATAGATCCAACCCTGGCTCCTGGAACGAGTGAGCATCGCCCCACTGAGCAGGTACTGAGCAGCAGAGCTGGGGTCTGAAGCCCTGCGTCAGAATCCACTCCGGCCCCATCGCTCCCTCAGCCAGAGCGGAAACACAGCTCTGGCTGGCCGGGAAGCCCAGCCCAGCACGAGTCCAGGACAACGGCAAGCACTCAGGACTGCTGTTCCCACCAAGGACCCCACAACAGCCTCTTCCTGGTCAAGATCAAGGGCAGAACAGGCAACCCCCAGGGCTTCCCCCCAGCCCCCAGCCAGGGCAGCACTTACTTTCCACTGGGGTGGGCAAGGTGGGGATTCCAGGCTGAGAGTAGCAGAGGTACATCTGCTGGTCGAGGCTGCGCAGCGCGTGGAAGGTAGGGTGTGTGTGCTGCTGCACAAACAGGTGCCCGGCGTTGACCTGGTTGACCACGATTACCTCCACAGTGATGCCATCGGGCAGCATGAGCTGTGGAGGGGGAGGGGCAGCGGCCACTGCAACAATCCTTCTCATGTCTGGGTAAGTCCCAGGGCCCCAGGGCAAGTCTCTGAACTGGCACATCTTTGAAAAGGGCACAGCAACCCAGAACACCACGGCACACAGATGCAGAGGTTCGCAGCTACTTCACTGTGGAAAGTGCTGGACACCACTGTGGCTGCTGCCCTGCAATATCAGGAGCAGCCATTAGGGGCAGCCTCACCTCAGGGCCAGGCAGGGTCCACTCACCAGCGCTGCCTCCCTCCCACCAGAGAGGGCAAACACGGAGAACAAGGTGCGCAGGAATGAGTAGCGGGCAGGCCCTCAAGGAGGAATGCCAGCTCCCCTGGACCTGCAGCCGACCCCAGGAGCTGACGGCCTGACAGCATCTACTCTGCCTTCCCCACACCAGCAGCGGGGTCCAGTCAGCCCACGGTCAGGGTCTGCCAGAGCCTGCGTCTCCTTTGTTCTTCCTCCTCCTCCTTCCCCTCCTCCCCCGAAGCCCTGCTCATCTTCCATACTCCAGACTCCCCCAGCTCACTCCACTTTAGCATCTGGAATATAGCTTTGCTTCGTGGCCAGACCCCATACTAAAGGCCCTAGAAGAGGCCACCACTGTTCTCTAAGAGACTTGCCCTTCGATGCTGGCTTTCCCAATGCCAAGCTACAGGCAACACCCAGGGGCTCTGGGCACAGCAGGGCATCACTCCTGCCCTCCCACTGGGAGGTCACACGTGGAAGAGTCCTGGCCCCAACCCCCCATCCCAGCACTACTGGTTCAGAGGCGTCTGGGATCACCTCTCCGGTCCCCATGAGCCAAGCAGAGTACAAGGGAAGGAAACCGTCTGTACAAACCACTCAATTATTTAAAGACAGTGAGTCTAAGGACACAACTCCTGCAAAAAAACTCTGATTCAGGAGTAAAGCATAAAGTGGGGTTCAGCCCACTCCCAAATACCCACAGGAAAAGAGAGAGAGATCCTATTCCTTTACTCCAGCAGAAGGGTCTTTGGAAGAGGGAAGATACAGAACTAAAATGCCTACTGTCCTAAAAAAACACCCAGGAGGGCGATTTCCTTGGAGCCACACATCCCGCCCATCTGTGTGAAACGCAGTCAATAGTCTGGCCCACAGAACTCTGCAATTCTATTCCCAACGCGATGAGGCCAGAGCAGGCCCAAAGGTACACTGCAGGATGAGTAACAGGCGCCAAGAGACACTGGGGGGCCCCCAGACACCAGCTCCTCCTGCCACAATCCTAGGGCAACCTTCAAAGAGCCACCCGGCTTCCTGGGCCTGGAGGGGACTATTCATTCTTCTTTATAATCTAGGTACCTCCTGGGGAGCAGGAAGGGGAAAGAAATCCTTCGCCAGGGCACTACTGGGTCTGGCTCAACTAGAAGAAAGGAACAGAATGACCCCATCACAAGCCCCATCCAAGTCCAGGATGGTGGGTCCCACCCAGGCCTCGGGTGTGGAGAGGTGACCCTGGACACAGCACCAGGCTTAACGGGCCCCGCACCAGCCTGAACGCACCCAGTCTCCTGGCTGAACTATAATCCTTTCTAAGCAAACACCTGGCAAACACAAAAGGTACCCAGGTGGCAGAGCCAGGGAAAGTGGTCCACCCACATGGGGATTGAGAGGTCTTTGGTTTCCTGCCAGCACTTCACCCCCTTACCCTTGTCCCCAGAAAAGGCAGGATAGTAGCAGAACTGACCAGTGGAAGCCAGAGTGAGAAGGCACAGGCGTTAACATGCTCTGCCTTCTTGGCCTGCAGTCTGGGGGTTTCTTGCTTGGGGTAGGTTTGTGGGGAAGGGAACGCTCACCCAGGATGTCATTGGTAGAGAAGGCAGCGCCAGCGAAGGCAGTGGGGGAGCGTAGATATTGGTAAGGTTCAGTTCCTTGAACTTCTTCCCGATCAAGTTCAGTGCTTTGTCTACATGATGCTGAGAGCCTAAATGGAGGTGGGGGCAGGACACACAATCACTGTGGGTAAGAGAAAAGTCACAGCACAGACAACTCAGCCACACAGCCCAGTCCGGAGGGCTTCTCCTAGAATTCAAGTGTATCTTTACGGCACCGCTCAACACTGAAGTGCTGCCCCTCTCAGAGGATACCGCTGCCACCGTGATCGTGCTCTGAACACAACAGGAGGCGGGCAGGTGGGAAAAGGCCAGAGGGCAGTCACACGCAGGGCAGGGGGAAGCCAGGGTGGGGTGGTAGGCACCATGAACCTGGACCCCTGGCCCTGCCCAGCCAAGCACCCTCTAAGCACCTGAACTGGGGGGAAAGGCTGCAGGGAAGACGCCCGATGCTCCCCTAATCTGGGATGAGAAGCGGGGTTTTCTATTCAGAGACTTAGATACCAAAAGGACAGCAACTGGGACTCAGTGCTTCAATTTACTTACATTTCAGCTAAGAAAGCGAAACACAAGGCAGCAGCCGCCACTGACCTTCTATGTGGCAGATCTGGATGCTCTGGGTGTAAGGCAGGGTTGAGATATAGATCTTGGCACCAGATGTTTGCTTCAGGAAACTCACATACCGCCCCTGCTTGCCAATTAGCCGACCGACTAAGTGCTTCCAGAGAGAGAGAGAAAGAGAGAGAGAGAGAGAGACAGGAGGGTTAACAGAAAACCAATTCCCTATACTCCCAAAGACCTACTTCTGTTTTACACAAGGCCAAGCTCAAGTGTCTTAGCTGTTACCGTGTCAGCATTCATTTGTCAGGACTATGCTAAGCACTTACACTTACTCACAGAACCTGTGTAACAGATGACTTTGTCATCATTCTACAGATGAGGAAACAAGCCCAGAGAGGCGAAGGAACTCACCTAAGGTCACACAGCTGCTAAGCAGCTGAACTAGGCAGTCTGGCTCCAGGACCCAGCAGTTCCCATTTCATCCCCAACAACGTGGCCCAGACCCAGAAAGCGGCAAAGGCAGCATCTTCTCCAAAACCCACACTATGAGAAATTTTACCAGCATGAGGATCAACTACAATTCCTTATACCCCCTTCTCCTTCAAGTCTACTCAGGCCCAAAGATAAAGGGGCTAGATTTAAAAACAAAAGGCTTAGAATTCTCGGCCTCCCGCTGCCGAGTGGCAGCAGGCTGGAGCCTTCAGAGCACGAGGCTCGCAGAAGTGCCCAGTGCACCAGAGTTCAAGGTGGAGAGAAGCAGCCAAACTTAGCCATTACGTAAGACAAGCTCCGACACGAGCCCAGTCCAGCAGAGCTACCAGGGACGTGGTCCTCCTCGTCCACAGCCGGCCTCCTTGTGCCCTTTGTCACCACTGAGGGAAAAGAGGGCAGGACTGCCAACAGGGCTCCCAGGGGAAGAAACCACCATGGGAGCCAACAACCTGGGGTCAAAACAGCCACCTCAACCCAGAGTTCAGACCGCGCCAAGTCTCCCCCTCAGCAAGGAGCCAGAGGCCCGGGGAGAATGCAGCTTGTCAATTACTTCTGAGCCCAGAGAGAAACAGAAAGATCAAGCTAATAAGTTGTAAGTTGTAACAGCAAGAAGCTAGAGACCACTTAAGCACTCTGGAATTGGGGACTGATGAAGTAAATTGGCATTTGCACGATGAATAATGCAGTTAAAATTACACTGTCGAAGCATAACACAGGAAAATCAAATTGTTAAATATTTAAAGTGTTAATTAAAGCAACATAATCTCAGTTTTGTTTAAAAACCACAGGGTGCAAGATAAGAAAGAAATGAAAGTCTTTCACAGTCATTCTCAGGGGTAGAATTAAAGCTGCTTTTTATTTTCTTCATACATTTCTATACTTTTCAAGCTCTCTAAAGTATGGATTTATGCTTTGCTCAATTATAAAATACACTTTATGTTGGCGAGCTTGAGCAGAGCACAGTGAAGGGAGCCCGGATTTCCCAAACAGATCTGAGCCCCAGGATACACAAGAAGAGCCCCCAGGCCTGTGAGTTTGAGGAGTACGAGAATAAGATGCTCCTGCAGCCATCTTCCTCCCGCTGCAGGAAGCTCTCGGAACCTTGGAGAAGCAGAGTGTTCCCTTTCCCTCAGCCTTTGGCTCCTGCAGGGGCTCCTGCTGGTTGATTGTCCCTCCCCCAGTCTGATGGCCCTGGGCCGAAGGAGCTCTGAGCTTGCTGCAGAACTCAGCCTGCAGGGACGCCGCCCTTACCTTTGGCACCTCGATCTCCCAGATGATGAGGTCGACCTTCTTGGGGCTGGAGCCTGCCTGGGCATTTTGGAAACCCTCGGTCTTCCTGAGGCTGCCACAGCTATCCACCGAATCCATGCTGTTCCCATCGGAACCTGCAGGGGAGGAAGCAGCGGGCGCGCGCACACGAGCCTGGCTCAGAGCAGAACCACACGGCAGAACTTCCCCAATGCACATTCCGAGAGGCCACCGCCCCACGCCCCCTCCTCAAGCTTGGCAGGTGACTATCAAGTCAGTCTAGAAGGCTCAGAACAACCCCAATGAAAGGAGGACTGGGGGTGTCGATACACCTAATTTTAGCCTGTCACTTAGAGTCCCACTTGCTTAATTGGCAGCCGCACCCAGCCACAGCTGCCGGAGCAGAGGCACAAGTGGTGAAATGGGAAGAAACAGACTGTGCCCCGGGAAGGGGAGGCCGCGGGACTGGGGAGGAGCACGACTGTGGGCCCCTGCGGTCCCGGGAGCCAGACCTACCGGTCACAACCATCTCGGCACCCTTCCACTAGCCCAGTCCCTCAAACCAGAGGTCTCCAATCCCTGAGTCGCAGGCCTGGGGTCCCAGGCAGTGGCCTTCTGCCAAGCAGAGCTAGACAGAGTCCTCACTGGCCTAAGGGCCCCATCCTTATCCCTGATGAGGAACCTGCGTTTCTCTGCCAGATATGGACAAAGGAAGAAGGGTCTCCTTTCCTTCTGCTTGGGCCTGACTTGTGCAACCCTGAATATTTTTTTGGGCTCAAATACCCCCTGGCCAAAAGACTGAGCTAAAGCCCATTCCAAGAGGATGGAATGGGAAGCAACTTGGCCTGCTGCACTCTCAAGAACATGCCAAAGGGACCATATTGCAGAAAAATGACCATATTGCAGGGGTCCCGACCAGCTCAAGAGAAGTAGTTCTGGCTTAAATATGGACGACTAAATAGCCAGAAATAGATCACTCCTGACAGCCTACCAATTAGGTTATTTTCCACATTGTTTCTCCAAACCCTGGTCACAATCCTCCGCCAAGCAACCCATGCACTGTCTGGATGCAGAGAACTAGAGCTTACAGAGACTCTGCTCCCAGCCAAGGAAGAGCCACCTTCAAAGTGACCTCCTCCCTTGACACCAGGGACTCGGAATAGGCTTCACACAGGGAAAACCATCTCCTGAGAGAAGGTAGCCTGGCCAGCCTGCTAGATGCAGAACAGGCTGACAGAGTGGGAGGGCGGGGTGCTCCACCCATGCACAGCCCCTGCCTCCGTCCAACAGAACAGGACCAGCCAATATCTGCCACCCCAAGGGCACCCAGGAGTGGCTCAGAACCACACCAGGACTCTAGCAGGCAGCACTCAAGGCCAACTTCCGGCTCCCTCCGCCGGGCTGCCCTCTGGACCCCTCTCAGCTTCAGCTTCCTCCTCCCCCCAAAAATAACAGTATTTAATCCTTAGGGCTGCTGCGAAGTTAACACTGTAAGGTGCTTTGAACAGAGCTTGGCAGGAGTTTGAGGCTTCCAGTGAGTGCACTATCCCGCCACATCCGACGCCCCCCCCCCCCCCCCCCCCCCCCCCCCCACACAAAGCAGGGCTGATATGGGAATGCACGCGGGCGCTAGCCCTGTGCTCAGCACCCGCTGAGTGGTAATAGCAGACAACTACCGCTAGGCTTCCCCTGCGTTCCCGAAGCCTCCCAGCGCACCACAGCCCAGCTCTGACCCTAGACTCAGACGCTGTCAACACATCCGAGTAGCTGCTGCCATCGATCTAGAGTTGGCATGACAAGGCTGAGGGGCTTGTCAACTGAACTGAGTAAGGGGCAGTAGGCAAAGAGAAACTCTACTCTTAAAAAATTTCACTCATTTTAAAGATCCAATTTTGGGGAAACATTTTAATACCCTGACATTGGGATGCATCTTATAGTACCTGGCCTTTATAATCACGACTGGCAGCACATAAAGACAGTAGTGTCTTAACAGCATCTTAGAGGTGACAAAACGTCAAGTGTGCTACAAACCAGATGCTGCTGAAAGTATTAAGATTCCCAGTAAAGATCCCCAACCCTCCCGGAGCTGAAATGGTAGGTAGGGAGTGGCTCCAGGACAAGCAAGTCAGAGAGTCATGGCCCCTCTCCAGGAGAGAAACCAGAACACCCCAGGGTGGCTGCAGAAGCAGGGTCCGGAGCTGCTGACCTGTCAGTTAGCGGTCTGAACTGTCTACGCTGGGGCCAGCACTCGAAAAACCCAGTGGACACCTCGTTACCAAAGTGCCCCTCTTTCCCGGGGGTGGAACTGCAGCTGCACAGAAAGAAAGTGGCTGAGGCTCTCTGCGAAGGAACAGGTGACGGCAACGTCAGGAAGCTCGAGCCTCCCACAAGTATTCAAAGCTGTGGCCATTCTTTGGGCACTTACCCTGTAAGAGCTTCTGGAGGAGGGAAGCAGGTGAAGACATGGGAACAAGCACATGATTAAAAGGAAATAAACCACTGAAAAAACCTCACACCCATACTTGGCACTCAAGGGAAATAAAGCTAAGGAGACCTTTCCATTTAAAAAAAAAAAAAAAAAACATTAAGAGGTTAGCATTTAAGAGGAGAAGAGGCACACGAAGGTTCATCAGTGCATTCAGCTTTGAGCTAACGCCTTCTGAAGGGCTGGGAGCTTCGCTGGCTACCGAGCCGAGTCAGTCACAGCTCCTGTGGCTCTTGGGTTCCAGGGCAACCTGACTTGTCATTAGCCGCAGCGCCACGCCGTGCCTGGCGCGCTGCAGGCCAGCCAGGACACAGAGCTGAAGAGCACCACTGCTTGGCTGCACAGGGAGCAGAAGGGAGAGGCTGGCCAGCGGCCCACCCCTAACACATAAAGGGAGACCCCCATCCTGTAAGTGAACACCTGAGACCCTCCTACCTCCCGAATGATCTGCTTCTGCGTCCAGGGTCCATCCATCCTCAGCCCCCAAGTCTGACAACTCCCCCTTCAGCACCCCATTGCTGAAGGGCACAGTACTTTCCGGCAGCGGTGGGGTGATGGCCTTGTCCCTGGGGCTTGAGTTGGTCTCTGTGCCGGAGTCTTCGAGCCCTGAAGTGCTGAGGGAATCAGAGCAGTGTCCCGAGGAGGCCACCGAAGGGACACCTTGGCTGTTGTCCGACATGCAGGTGGCATCTTCCCCATCCAGTGACTCTCTAAGGGGGGCGGCCGGTGGGGGGCAGGGGGCCAGGGCGATGGGGTGTGCGGAGTTCTTTGGCTTATTGTCCTTGGTGGGGCTGGACAGAGGGCTGCTCAGGCAGCTCACGTAGGTCTTTGGTGGTGGCAGGTCCTCTGCCAGCAGGGCTGGCGCAGGTGGGGCCGCATCCAGTGGGCTAGTGGCTGCCTCTGCTGTGGCCAGGGTGGGCTCCGCGGCATTTTGACCCAGAACAGTTTTGGGGCTGCCTGGGACACAGCTCTGCTCCTTCTGACCTTGGAGCTGAGCGGCCGAGGCCTGATATATCCGCCCCGCGATCTTGCCCACCGTGGTAGCCAGCACTTCTTCGGTTGCTTCCAAGATCACTTGGGAGATTATCTGGAAGGCAGCCTGCTCAATCTTATCACTTCTATCCAAGCTCTCCTCGTTGCCCAGTTCTCCCGCAAGGTCTCTGTCCCAGGCTTTGCCGCCTCTGACGCTAGGTGCTGGCGTCTCATCATCCTTAGCCAGCTCCGTGTGAGCGGACTCGATGAAGCTACTTAGCAACTTCCCTACCACATACTCTTCCTTCTGCTGTGTGGGCACGAGCACCTGGGGCAGGCCGCTCCTCCCCTTCTCCCCGCCTCCTCCCAAGGGGGCCAGGCGGGGGGCCTTGCTGTTCTCCAATTCCGAGACACGCTCCTGGGACAACAGACCTTCTTCGAGCACATTCTCCCCCAACACTGCATCGCCGGTCCCTTCGGCCCCACCCGTCTCTCGTGCCCTGTCCCCAGGGCCATGCTTCTCAGCGGGCGCTGCCGACTGGCCTGGCCAGCCCCGCCCTGGCGTCCTGCTGAACACGGACTCTTGCTTACACACCTCGGCTGCTTCATGAGGAAATGGGGATGAAAGGGGACACTCTGGAGGAATAGATTTGGCATCATCACCCGTCAGGGCTAGGTCCAGCTTTGCACTGTCGTCTTTGCGTGTTCCTGGTCGAGGTCTTGTGTCTGTGGCGTTGGGAAGGCTGCCCGAGGACTCTGATCTCCGACGGGCCGCTTGTATCCGCAGCAAGGCTGGGGGCTCTGCAGAAGGTTTGCTCGCGGCGGATGGTTCCTTTTCGGGCGGCTGTGTGACGCTGGGGGGTGCGGACACGACTGCGGCACAGACATCCTCCACGGGGGGAGGCTCCTTGACGGCAGAGTCGGCGCTCAGCTCCGCAGCGCTGGCCTCCGCCTGCCGGCTGTGCCTGCTCACGTGGTCTTTTTTACGAGAGAAAAACCACCACCAGCCGAGGAGTGCCAGCATTCCAGGCAACGCCAAGGGGAAGAGCGAGCGGAACTGGAGCGCCATCCTGGAGGCCCGAAGTAATGATACCTGCAGGGGGCAGGAGGGGGGAAGGACTGTTACGAGGGCCAGGGAAGAGCACGTGCACGTGCAGGTCCACAGGGGGAGAAGGCCGGCGCTGTCTCCCTCCCTTACCCCGCGCCCCACGAGCAGCAGGCCTCTCGGATCTGCACCAGCTCATCCTCTGGGTGGTCGTCTGCAGGGGAGTGGCCAGGAAGAGGCCCCTGCTCCTCCGAGCTCCCCGATTCACATGTACCCCCCTGAAACACAACGAGCATCCTATTCTTTAACCCAAATCCCCCCTTCATCGCTTTACAACGCCAAATTCTCCCTACGTTCCCCAACAAGGGGCCAGTTATGTTCCGTGTGGTTTAGTTCTCTAAACTCCTGGAACGTTTTAACTATTCAAGTAGTGTTGGAACATTTTTAAACACCCATGGAATCCACATGTACACACATCCCTCTCGTGTTCCCCCAAAATCCCGAGCAGGCAAACAGTGGTTTAGTACTCAGCAACAGATGGCGAGAGCAAAGGAGGAATAAAATTGCAAATGGACAGGGAGATGCCCCAGGGTGAGGGACCAAGAAAACAAACAGTCGCCTGAAGACCTGGGTCAGACTTGGAACTCAGTACAGATGGTCCCGAACTTACGATCTTTTAACCTCACAATGGTACGTACAAAAGTGATACACATTCAGTAGAAACCATACTTTGAATTTTGGATTTTGCTCTTTCCCAGGCTAGTGATATGCCGGAGGACACTCCTGCAATGGTGGGCGGCAGTGGCAAGCTCCCAGTCAGCCAGGAGATCAGATCAGGAGGGTAAACAGCTGGTGCTCTACAGTGCACTGTGTTGCCAGATGATTTTGCCCAGCTGTAGGCTAATGTAAGTGTTCTGAGCACATTTAAGGCAGGCTAGGCTAAGCTATGATGCTTGGTAGGTTAGGTGTATTAAATGTATTTTCAACTTACGATGGGTTTATCGGGATGTAACTCCGTTTTAAATTGAGGAGCATGTGTAGTTTAGCAGGGCCCCCCACTGTGTAGTCTGGATTTTATTCGGTAGAGAACAAGCCTAGGTCTGCAAGGCACACACCAAACTGTTTCCAGAAGGCAAAGGGAACCTAGAAATCTAAGTCAGATCCAAACAAGGAGAAATAATAAGGATCTAGAAGGCGGCAGCAGACATGTCAAGAAGATAGGAAACTTTACAGGTGGTGGCTCACACCTGTAATCCTAGCACTCTGGGAGGCCGAAGTGGAAGGATCACTTGAGGTCAGGAGTTCGAGACCACCCTGAACAAGAGCAACACCCTGTCTCTACTAAAAATAGAAATATTAGCTGGTCACGGTGGTGCGTGCCTGTAGTCCCAGCTACTTGGGAGGCTGAGGCAGGAGGATTGCTTAAGCCCAGGAGTGTGAGGTTGCAATGAGCTATGATGATGCCACTGCACTCTAGCCAGGGCAACAGAGTGAGACTCTGTCTCAAAAAAAGAAAACAACAAAAAAAAACCCCCAAAACACTCAATTTTCCTCACCTGTAAGATGGGAACACATCTCTTAAGGGATGGTTGGTACAAGAATTAGCTAAGATATATATATTAAGTGTTTTGTAAAGCAGGGCTGGCTCTCATTAGGTTATGATGGACTTATTCTAGAACACTTGCATTCAGCACCTCCCATGCCAGCAAATTTTAAATCTGTCTGCAAAAATTAAAAGTCTACTTTAAGCCAAAAATCCTCCAACTGACATGGCGAATTACACGTTAATTTGGGTTCGTGTTTTGTTGCAGAGATAACAAACATAAACGTTTTAACAGCTCTTACTGATTTAGTTGACTTATATTAATGTTCTCTGGCAAAACCAGAGCATCAATACTTTTAACAGTTTCCTGGGTGGTGCTAATCTTCAGCTAAGGCTGGGAACCACTGCTCTAGGACTCTGCTTTTCAAAGTGCAGTCCATAGACAAGTAGTATATGGAGTATCACCTGGGAACCTGCTAGAAACGCAGTGTCTCAGGTCCACCCCAGACCTACTGAATCAGAGCTGCATTTTAACAAGACCCCAGGGGCTAGCACATTAGCTTGTGAAGGAATGCTATAATAGATGTGTTCTGCCCCCAGTGCTAGGGATGGGGCTAGGGGAGTAGTGCTGAAAAGGTCCTCTCCAGAAGCCCCTTCTACCTTTAAAGATAAACCTTCTTGCTAATATCAGAAGAGGAAGCAATGATAATAACACTTGAAGTATAAAGTAGGGCTAAGCAGTGGCCAGGGCTCAGAAGACTGTATCAATCCCTCCAGGAGGAGAGCTTCGACAATGCTACCTTATGGCTTCAGATTCAAACACGTTACCTTGCTAGATGCTTTCCTTGTATCGCTTAATCCTTAATCTTCAGCCACCTCGTTTGGAATCTATTACTATCTTAAAGGTCAAAATAAGTCAAAGTCATACAGCCAAGGGATGGGAACCCAAGTTCTAGTCCACATTCAATCTAGAAACCACTAATTAATAGAACCGTGGGCAAGAAGCATCGTATGAGCCAAGAAAGGAGGAATTCTGTACTACCTTTTTGGAGAGCTTTCGTAATAGCTCTTAAAACCTCAGAACCACATCCTGTGACCCAGAAATTCTATACCTAGAGTCTTAAAAAAAAAAAAAACAACAACAAAAACAAAAACCACAATAAAAAAAAATTGCAATAAGCCAGGCACAGTGGCAAGCACCTGTAGTCCCAGCTGCTGTGTCTGAGGAGGGAGGATCATTTTGAGCCCAGGGGTTTAAGACCAGCCTGGGCAACGTAGGGAGATCCCATCTCTAAAAATATAATAAAAAATTTAAGACAAAATAAAATTGGGATTAACCTTTCAGGGTAGTCACTAACATATTGTGAAATCCACAGACATACTGGTGTTACAGAAAGTTGATCTCATGTACTGACATGGAAAAAGCACGATACAGAAAAAAAGGTATAGACCACCATGGGCGTGTGATGTCTATACCCATAAAATCCCGGCGGAAAAACTGGGAAGGACACAAGACAGGCCATTCAGGTGTAGCAGGGGGAAATTTTTGCCCATTGATGTTGTATCCTGCAATCACGTTGAACTCATGTATCAGTTCTAATAGTATTTTTAGTAGATTCCTTGGGATTTCTTATCTAGAAATAGATACTCTTGCTTCTTCCTTTAGGGAGGAGAGTTCTGTGACAGTGGTTCTCCAACTTGGCTCCAAAACAGCATCATTTGGGAAGCTTTAAAAAAAGCCAAGGCCACGATGGTACCCAGACCAATTAAATCAGAATCTCAGGGGGAGACCAGGGCACCTGTTTTTTTTTTTTTTCCTTAACCCAGGTGATTACAACACGCAGTTAAGTTTGAGAATCACTGTTCTGTAAAAACCCACAACCAACCAAAAAAGAGGTAGATCATGTGAGATTTCCTCAGTATTTTCTTCATATTCAATGTCTTTCATAGGAAAGAGGAAAGACAATTCGAGAAGGGAAAGAGGCTACGGGGAAAGGGTGCTCTCGGGATAGGGCAGTGTGTGCACCACCTGCTGTCAGGAGACCAAGTGCTACCCCAAGGGGCACGTGCTGACAGGAAGTGGAGCTGAGGTCTAAACCAGGTTTTCATCTGGTCAGTAAATTTAGATTCTGATCCTTATTAACTAGGCAATCCCATTTCAGCAGGGTTTATGGTTGTGATTCCCACAGTATTTCGGCAATTCTCTGACTTCAGGAAAAAGACTAAATGAAATGAGGTAGAGAGGAAGAAAAAAATCCTAACCACCACCGCATTTTGCACACCAAGGGCCCAAGGCCGCAGGCTCAAACGGGTGTGTATGAGGGAGGGGCTGCTACCCAAGACACCACAGCCGGGAGAAGTCCCACCCCTTTGGAACTAAAAGCTGATTCCAGGGGTTCTGCCTGTGCAGCAGTTTCATGTCCCACCTCACCCAGCCCCCCAGGATCCCAGAGGCTGGGGACGCTGCAGTAAGGCAGAGCCCCAGTGCTCAAACACGCATTCCAGTCTGGCTTTGGGTGCCACAACCATCCTGCCACTGGGCTCCCCGCATGTCCTCTGCCCCATCTCAGTCTTCACCCGGCCAAGACACACGGAACCAGCAGCCAGCGCCACCACGTGGAGCCTGCCTGCTGCTCTGCAGCTCACAGGGACACCGCTATCACATCCCACCCGAGCCTCCCAGCCCCGCACGGTCCCCAAAGACTGGGGCTCTAAGCCCCCACACCATCCAAATCTATCCCCTACAGCCAGCTATGGCTATGGAGACTTACAGCCCAGCAAACATGATTTCTGCAACACTTCCAAGCCAGATGCCCCCTGTTGCTGTGCCAGGAAGGCCTCCTAGGCGAAGGCGCTGAATACTGCTACCCTGAGGCCATGTCACCCAAACCATGGAATCCAGAATGCCCCACCTAAATGCCCAGGGCCTCCACCTCCCACTCTGGACTAGAGCCAGAGATCCAAGGTTGAGAAACCAGGAACCGAGTGTCACTGCTACTTCACAGGGAGCGGCTCAGGACAAAGCTCTTCTCTCCATGACTGCTTCCAGGAACAGGAACTGCCCGACCCGAAGCGCTCCACCGGCACTAGAGAACAGAGGAATGAGACACCCCCAGAGAGTCGGAAGGCACAGTTTATTTTTTCCTTGCTATCAGAGGATTGTGATTAGAGATATGAGCCATCCTCCACCAAGCAGGGAGCTGAGTGCCCCTGGGGCCAGCAGCCTCCCTGCCCAAAGGCCTTGGCTCCAACTCCCTGAGCCCAGCTGGGTCGCACTTTGGACCCGGGAGGGACCTCCCAGGGGCTCCACGAGGTGATGAATGCCTTCCACCAGCCCCCTCTTCCCACAGTCAAGAATCGGCTAGCCCCTCATTTTCTTACCCAGAGCCAATCTCACTCAAACGGGCTTCTTGGGAATTGGTAAGATGCCATTTTCCCCGACTTACATGATCTGATAGGCCTATGAGAAATGGTGTAGGGGTACACCAACCTTTCTTGAATTCCT